CCAAACAAACTCTTCAAGTACAAGAGTCAAATAGACCACAACACAATAATTTTGGGTAACTTTAACATACCTCTTTCATCAGTAGATAGATCTTCCAAACAAAAGCCGAACAAAGAAACTACAGAACTCAATAATACAATCAATAACTGACATATATCGAATAGTCCATCCCTCAAGGAGTGAGTATGCTTTCTTTTAAGCAGCACATGGATCTTTCTCTAAAATAGACCATATACTATGCCACAAAGCAACTCTTATCAATTATAAAAGATACTACCCTGCATTCTATCTGATCATAATGGAATAAAAGAAGAAATATAATCCACTCCAGCATCTGGAGACTAAATAGTATGCTACCGAATGGACAATGGGTTACGGAAGACATCAAGGAGGGGATCAAAAATTTTTTTGAGGTGAATGAGAACACGGATACAACATATCAATCTCTGGGACACTTTGAAAGCAGTTCTAAAAGGAAAGTTCATTGCATGGAGTTTATTCCATAAAAGAAGAAAAAGTCAACAAATAAATGACTTAATACTATATCCCAAAGCCCTAGGAAAAGAACAAATCAACACCGAGATCAGCAGAAGACAGGAAATAATTAAAATCTGAGCTGAAATCAATGAAACTGAAACAAAAGAAACAATTGAAAAATTGACAGACCCTTAACCAGGCTGATGAAGAGAAGGAGGGAGAGAACTCCAATCACTAACATATGTGATGAAAAGGAAATATCATGACACTACAGAAATACAGAAGATAATTAGAAATTATTTTGAAAACTTGTACTCCAATAAAATAGAAAATATTGAAGGCATCGAAAAATTTCTAGACTATATAATTTGCCCAAATTGAATCAGGATGATATACACAATTTAAACAGATCAATTTCAAGTGATGAAATAGCAGACACCATCAAAAGTCTACCAATCAAGAAAAGCCCAGGACCAGACGGATACACAGTGAGTTCTACAAGACCTTTAAAGAAGAACTAATACCAATACTCCCCAGTTTATGTCAGGATATAGAAGAAGAGGCAGGACTTCCAAACTCATTCTATGAGGCCAATATCACTCTGATTCCAGAGCCAGGCAAAGACACATCAAAAAAAGAAAACTTCAGACCAATATCTCTAATGAGCATAGATGCAAAAATTCTCAATAAAATTCTGGCAAATTGAATACAAAAACATAGTGCATCACAATCTAGTGGGATTCATCCCAGGGATGCAAGGTTGGTTCAACATACGGAAATCAATAAATGTAATTCATCACATCAATAGACTTAAAAGAACCATATGATCATCTCAATAGATGCAGAAAAAGCATTTGCTAAAATATGGCACCCCTTTATGTTCAAAACACTAGAAAAACTAGGGATAACAGGAACATATCTCAACATCATTAAGGCTATCTATGCCAAGTCCCAGGCCAAAATAATTCTAAATGGAGAAAAATTGAAGGCATTCCCCCTCAGAACTAGAATAAGACAGGGATGCCCTCTTTCAC